GGGCTGACCTTGCCAAGTACTCTACCCATTTCCTCGTGAGTTACAAGTTTTCCAGTCCACACTGTTGCCTCTAGTCCTTTAAGATGGTTCTTTCCATGGCCTTGGGAAGTTTCCTCACATGCATGCATTAAATATTTTGCTGGAAACTCAAGGAAGACCCTCTGAAAATCTCTAGCATTCTCTCTCTGTACAACTCTTTTCTCTGGTACTCTATGCTATGAACGTTAGCTATCTTGGTCTCCCCTTGCTCTCAGCTTCATCTCCTCAATGCAAGGAGTTCACTGAGCTCCACCTCAGCTCCCTCTGGAACTGTGCCACATCCTGGAAACTCTCAAGGCATTAAGCTGGGACAATCACAGTAGACATCTCATTTGTTTCTCGCTCTCAGGAATAACTGTCTTTTGTTGCTTGACATTCACTGGCTTGAAAATTGCTGTTGTGTATATTTCATGAGCTGGCGGTGGTGGCTGTTCTTTTAGGTGGGAGAGCAAACCAGTTCCAGTTATTCCATCTTACCAGAAATCCTCACTCATTCTTGTGCTCACTGCCCTCTCTTGAGCATCTTCAGTCTCCTTTTCCCCTGACGAGCACCCTAAACCTCTGTCTACTAGCATGCTCAAGAGACCTTTTCTTATAGAAACAAATGTGCTTAGCACTATTTTCTCTTTTTCTGTCCATCTTCTTGAAAGAATCATCTATATGCCAAAGAGCTAAGGAGGGAAAATGATGGCCTATCCCTCAATTCCTTTGCTTGCTCATCAATCCCCTCATTTCTCAGGTTGGTTTCCACTTCAATACTCTTCTGAAACCATTTCTACCATTAGTTATTAAATACCATATTGTCACCACATCCAATGCCTTTCTCAGACTTTAGACTTATGCTTACCTTATTTGACTGGTTCTTTTGATTTCTTGCCCATATTTGACTTAAAGGATATTATATAGAACTGCCTGACCTATATTCCTTATCAAATACAGATACTATAACATAAGCTCCAAACAGCAGGGTTGTTTATATATTTTGTTAACTGATATATCCTTAGTCCTTATGTCAGTGGTGGTTACATAACCGGCATTCAACGAATGTGAAATTAATTAATTAAAATATAATTGGTGCTTAGTATCCTTCTCTCTACCCATTACCCCTGGACAATCTCATTCAAATCCAGAGTGGTCTCTCAAATCTCTCTCTCTAGTCTGCTTGTCTTTTAGCATTTGCATCATTATTGGATGTACTGTCAACACCTCAAAATTAGCATGCCCCAAACTAACCTCATTATTTTTATCTTAAAACTATCTGTCATGTTTCCCTACCTTTTTTTTCCAACAATTCACCCAAACACAAAGCTATGAACTTGACTCATGTGATTGTTTTATCTTCCTTTCCTCTCAAATACCCAGCATGACAGTCACTTTTACAGTAGCAATAACATCCCCAAAAGCACTGTCCCTGCTGGATCACCTATAGATCTAACAGGCTCCCCCACAGCTTCTCTAGTCTCTAGGCTCAGATCCCCACATACCTTACATCTCTGCATGCTGTGCCTTAACCCAGTAAAGTCACTAATCTTTCTCTGAATATAACCATGCTTTCTATCCCTACTTCTCCTCACCCCATTCCTCTCTGCTTAGCTCTTACCCATCAAAAAGAACCTACTCAAATGTAACCTTCACTATGAGCTTTCTTTGACCCTCCAGATTAGAAATGCTCTCCTCTTTTAACATTCATATTTACACCATTAAGTATATCACATATCAGATTCTGTCTTAGCACAGAGCCTGGCATATATTAAATAAGCAATATATGTGAACTGTTTTTGTTTTGTTCTGTTTTTGTTTTTTGAGACAGTTTCATTCTTGTTGCCCAGGTTAGAGTGCAATGGCATAATCTCAGCTCACCGCAACCTCCGCCTCCTGGATTCAAGCGATTCTCCTACCTCAGCCTCCCCAGTAGCTGGGATTACAAACAAGTACCACCATGCCCAGCTAATTTTATATTTTTAGTAGAGATGGGGTTTCTCCATGTTGGTCAGGCTGGTCTCGAACTTCCGACCTCAGGTAATCCACCTGCCTCGGCCTCCCAAAGTGCTGGCATTATAGGCATGAGCCACTGTCCCTGGCCTATGTGAACTGTTTTTATCAATACACAGCTTATCTTCCTAACCTGGATATAAACTTCTTGATGGCAGCTTCGTCCAAAGAGGCCTCCAAAAAGGCATTGTGCCAGGTTCAGAACAATGACAACTCAAAGAAGCTTCATATCCAAAAAATTAGCCAACCTAATAACTAATTCATCAGAGAAGTGACTAGCACACGATGATTCTGATAAAACATATTATTAAAAAATTTAATCAAAACAAATATAAAATATAACTTACAAGTAATGCAATTATGTTCAGAGAATCTTTTACACTATAATTAAAAACTGTTCCTCTAGCAATAGTCCTAGAAGATAACTCTCATAAGTGAAAAAGAGCACACTTTGTGTTACTCTTACACATATTTTAGAAGCTATTTTGCTTGAAAAGAATTGTTAAGCTAATAAAGTTTACATAACTTCATTGCATATTACTCAAAAGATATTCACAGTTTTAAAAACAATCAAGTACATACTTCCATCAGAAATCCTAAACCTTGGATACTACTAAACTCCACTTGAATACCTGAACTGGCATCCTATCTCTAGCTCTGTAATAATAGCCATGTCACCACACCTTTGGACTTCAGGTAATTTAGAAACAGAATATGGAAAAGGATTCTTACGTTTCATATAAGGCTGTTATAAGGCTCACAAAGGACTATATAGATTCAATTTACTTTTTTGCTTATGAATTTAACAGACATCTGTATCCATGCCCAAACCTTGTGCCAAACTCTGGGCATGCAATACCACATGTGATGCTCTATCTGCCCTTAGGAGATTATAACCCAAGATGGGGGGATGGGCATGTACACAAAGCAATGCTACAGGCACTAAGTGGGAGAAATATGGACAATGCCCAATGGGGAGAGGAGGGAATACTCGGTTCTGCCCAAGGAGAAAAGAAGGTAGTCAGAAACAGCTTCTGCAAAGAGGCTACGTGTGTGCTCTGCTAATCCTCTCTGAGGTGTCTCCACTTATTACAATCCCCCTATTCTTTCCCACATTCTAAAATCAAGTGATGTTTCTATTCCTTTAACAGCTCCACAGTTTCTTATCTCAATTCCAAAATCTGAAAAGTCCTCAAAACCTACACTTTTTTCCTAACTTATTTGTTGGCAAAACCTGCCCCGAACTGATGTAAGGTTCTTGATCAACAATATCCTTTCTACTTGTTTTAGGAAATCCTAGTTAATAATTCCATCATCCAACCATCACCTAAGCCAGGAATTGAGCCAGCCATAGCTTTCTGGCTCTCACTCTCCAAACCCCACTGCACCAGGCTCTGTCAATTCTAGCCCTCAAATATATATCCTACCTATTCCTTCCTCTTCTTCCCCCGTAACTGCCTCAACCAAGGCCTTCATCATCTCAGCTGCACCGTCGCAGTAATCTTCTGACTCCACCTCTAATCACGCTCCTTACAACTTAGCCCCTATGTCATGGCCAGCTTGATCCTTCTCAAATGGACATCTGATCATATAGTTTCCTTGCTTAAAATATTCTGATGTCTCTGTACTACCTACATGAAAATCCCAAACTCCTGAGTACAGTATGAAAGGTCTGCCAAGATTCAGCGACCACTGAATACAGCTCATCTCCTGGCACTCTATTAAACCTACGCTGCAGTCATGCAGAAATGTGGTTTCCGGGGGTTGCCAATATGTTTCATACTCCTTGCCTTCACACTGCCCCTCTGCTCCTGAATCCTCTTTCTTTTCCACCCCCACACCTTGTTTCTTGTACCAGGCCTACTTATCAAGTTCAAATCCAATGTAGCAAACCACATCATACATCCTTCACCTCCCCCAGTTCCAGGCAACACTGTCATGCCTCTTCCTTCCATGCCCCATCGATTTCTGGATATAAACTTAATGTTTATGTAGCCAGTATACTGAGTCTCCTGAAATGCTGAAATCATTCCTTATCCCAGGTCTAACACTGGACCTAGCACACAATAGGTGTTCAAAATAAGCTGGTTGAGTGAACAGTCTTTCCAACTTTCACAGACAACGTCTCACCCTTCTCCTTCCTTATCAGCTCACCCTACAGAGGAGCTCTGTTCTTTGCCTCGTGCAGCTGCTCTTCCATTATTTCCTCTAGCTTATGCTCTTCTTTCCTTCTTCATTGTCAGAAGAGAAAGAGGACACATTTGAGAAGTGAAAAAAACCCCAACCAGGATTTCTCACTAATAACTTGACACTGAAAACATTTTGGGCCAGATAACTCTTTGCTGTGGGGGCTGCCCTGTGCATTGTAGGATGTTTAGTAGCACCACTGGCCTCTATCCACTAGAAGCCAGTAATACCTTTCCTACAAATGTCTCCAAAATGTCCCTAGATTGAGAACCACTGCCCTAGACTGACCTTTCTTAGCTATGTCAGGAAGCAACAGGAGAAGGCTGGTGCATGATCTCCTGCACTGACTTTCCTCCAGGTGAAAAATGATAAGGAAAGAACATTCAGACTACATCAGTTTACTGTTTAGGGAGTGTGTGGCCAAGAAACGAAGGCTGGAGTGACACTTCAAGGAAGGAAAGCACTCCATAGGCCCAAGATGAATCCATTTTGTCATATATCAGAGTTTCAGATTTCAGGATTCGCTTGTATTAATATATTCCCAAGCTTCATTTATTCATTGCCACTGACATGACCTGCTAGAGGGATACAGGATACAGCAATTTAATGCTATTAAATCCATTTCAACTCTGAAAAAGAGATAGTGTTTAAAATTAAAACAAACTGATGAAAGCATTAAACTCTAAGTAGAGGGGAGGTGAGGAACCACAAAAATTGCACAGGAAACTAGGACATCTTGGGATGAGAAAGAAAAAGGGACAGAACCCCAGCACAGTACCCACCTGTGGTCGACACGACGTTCTCGGGGCTTTCGCTGCAGAGTTTGGACAACAGACTGGTTTTGCCAGAGCCAGTGAGGCCTATGCAAACCAGGTCATATTCTGGTCGTGCAGGTGGTGGTCCCTTGCAGCAAAGTGCTCTAAAACACTGCCAAAAGAAGGGGGGGAAATGTTCCTTTAAGTAAGAGTGTGGAAATAAACCTTAGTTGCATTGAAAATGACTGAATAAGTATTAAGAAGTAATTGAATAAACTGTTACTTATAAGGAAGAAAATGGTAACTTTAGAATAGTGAAACCTGAAGATACCACTCTAGCCAAGTGATCAAAGTTAACGTTCTTAGTTATGAAACGTTTGTCTACTTCATGGCCCCCTTCCTGCTGAGGCAGGTGCACTGCAAGGAGCATGACATCATCCCGCAGCTTTCCTGCCAAAACCACACAACCTCAATCTAAGCATGAGGAAACCAGATAAAGCCAATCTCAGGAGTATTCCATAAGGCAACTGGCCTGTTCTCCAAAATATCAATGTCTTAAAAGTCAAAAAGACTGAGGAACTGTTCCATGTTAAAGAAGACTAAAAGGACATAATAAAAAAATGCAATACATCTTGGACTGGATCTTAGATCAAGAGGGAAAAAAATACCATAAAGGACATTATTGAGACAATAAGCGAGCACTGAGTATCGATTGCATATTAGGTAAGAGTACTGTATAGCGTTAAATTTCCGGAATTTAATCAATATATTGTGGTTATACAAGAAAAACCATTGTTTTGAGAAAATATTCTAATTATTTATAATACCTCTAAGTATTTAGAGATGAAGGGTCTTAATGTCCACAATTAATTGGCTCAGAAAAATTCTAAATCGCTCCATCTTTATCTAGTGAGGAGAGTGATAAAACCAACATGACAAAATGTTAATGACTAGTGATACTCAGTGAAAAGAATAGAGGAAAATTCCTTGTTCTGGTCTTACCACTGTTTGATGTCATTTCAAAATACAAAGATTTTTAAAATCATTAGAGTCTCTGTACATATCATTGCCTTTATGGCCTTTGCTAAATTTATCAGGTCAATCAACCAGGGTACTATGAACTGTAGTATAGTTTGGGCACTGCACAAACCTGTTTGCTCTGCAAGAATTAATGACAAAGGGATTTGGGCTGGGCACTGTGGCTCCCACCTATAATCCCAGCACTTTGGGAGGCCAAGGCTGGCAGATTACCTGAGGTCAGGAGTTCAAGACCAGCCTGGCCAACGTGGTGAAACCCCGTATCTACTAATACAAAAAAAAAAAATTAGTCAGGCCTGGTGTCAGGTGCTTGTAGTCCCAGCTACTCAGGAGACTGAGGCAGGAGAATCACTTGAATCTGGGTTGCAGAGGTTGCAGTGAGCCAAGATTGCACCATTGCACTCCAGCCTGGGCAACAAGAGCGAGACTTCATCTCAAAATGTAACAAAAGAAAGCCAAGGGGATTTGGGAGACAGGGTGTCCATGCAGCTTTTGATCTTTCTACTTATCCCATATTCATTTGTTAGGGGCCAACTATGTGCCAGCTTGTAGAGCCTGAAACATTTAGGGCCTAAATGATTCATGAGAGAAAGAGGGAAAGGGGGAGACAGGGAGGAAAGGAGGCAGATCTACTCACTTCAGGGTAATCTGGAGATCATGAGAGAAGAGACCTATAAAAAAGCCTGTGTTGATTCATCTCACTCAGATAAAATCTGAGTCCTAATTGGCTGTCATACTCTCATAAATCAAGCTTATCTCTCTCCCTCATTTCTTACATCTAATAGACAAATCCAGTTCATATGACCTCTGAAGTAGTTGTAGGATTGTCCGCTTCTGTCCAGCCCAGGCCATCATCACCTGGACAGCATCGATATCCTCCCACTGGTTCCAGCATATTTGTTCTCGTACCCCCTATTCTCCACACTGCAGCCACTGGATTGCATATAAAGAGAAAATCTGACCTTCTGTGCTTAAGCCACCACAGTGACTTTGCCCAGCTCTCAAGCCCAAACCCTTACCATTGTCTACCCCACACACTCCATGATCTGCTCCAGCCAAGCTCACCAGCCTCATTGCCCTCACTCCCCTAGCTCCTCCAGCCATGCTCTCTCTCACCTCAATTGAGGCATCAGATACATTGTTCCCTCTGCCCCCAGTTCAGGACTTAGCCAACTCCTCATCATTTTTAGGTCTCAACTTAATCATCCTGTGCTCAGGGCAGTCTGCTCCAATCCTAAGATTGTGTTAGCAATTCATGTCTACAGGGCTTTTGTAAATTCGTTACATAGACAATTACAGTTTCTTATTCATCACCAGCCTATGAGAACCATGTCTGTCCCCCTTCATCTCAGTACCCCCAGTGTCTAGCAGAGAACATGGCATAGAATCTACCTTCAGCAAATAATTGTTGAATGAAGAATGAATAACACTCAAATTTTACCCAAGGGGAAAAAAAAAAACAGAAAACAGAGACTAACAGGATGCTTGATTTATGCTCTCTGGGCCCTCCAAGCTTCAAGAAAATAATGTCAAAATTAGAAACTCTTGACTTTTTCACTTAGCTTCAATGCTATTAGTTAGCCTGGTTCTAGAAAGAGTGGTTTTGGTGTACAGGATCAAATTTCTTGGTAAATTAGAGCTTCTTTTTGTCCTAAATTCATTTTTCCTCCATTTGTAGGAGGTTCTGCCTGCTTCTGGTAAACAACTCTATGACCCATATTCTTCGTGGGTTTATTCGATGTTAATTGTATTTCCTCCCAGTCTTTTCAAGCCTGATGAGTCCTACTTATTTCAGTCTGCCTTCATCCTTTGAGATGTTCTTCTCTGACCTTCCTTTAGTTCCAGCACACCCTCTCCCACAAGATTAATGACCACAACTACTAACAGCATTCTAGACGCCAACACATCACATTGTGGATTCATATGAAGGCTGGCTGATATTGTCTGACTTTAATAAACTTTTTATATAAAGTCTGTCTCCCAGGCTCAGGATGAGAGTTTTTCCCAGAGATAGATTTATTTATGGATGCATCTATTCCTTCAAAGATGGCTACTGGCTAGCAGCTGTTCAGACTTAGAAGAGGTCTTCCACATTCAACTAGGACACACAACAAAACCAGTCACACAGTTTCTTTTACTGGGCTGCTTTGGTTTTAGTTGGGGTTCAAGGAAGAGAAACCCTACTCCTGCTCTAGAAGCCTTCATTCTCACTCAGCTCCCTGCCAGAATTCTTCTGGACTATCTCCTGGAGGAGGGCTGGCCTGACTACACTGGCCCAAACTATCATAAATCTTTAATATCAAATAAAACTATATGTGACTGATTGCTAGAGCATCCTATTTAAATTATTCATGTTATTATCACTCATATTTTTGCCAAACACTGCAAAATTTCACCTTCATGTTCTTTTTAAAATCCAGAGTATAAAAACTTTGTAGCCCATGCCATTAATATCTATTTCACCTGCTTATTCTAGGTCACCTAAGACACCTCTGACATAAAAGATAATTTCACAGTGACAGCAGTGATATTCTACTCCACTGTGTTTTCTCCTCTCTTTCTCTTTTTTTCTTTTTTTTTTTTTTTAAGCCAGTCTCTCTCTGTCCCTCAGGCTGGAGTACAGTGCTGCAATCGACACTCACTGCAACCTCTCCAATCCTAGGCTCAAGCAATCCTCCCACCTTAGCCTCCCGAATAGCTGGGATTATAGTGTGCACCACTGCACCCAGACAATTTTTGTATTTCTTTGTAGAGACGAGGTTTCACCAAGTTGGCCAGGCTGGTCTCGAACTCCTGAGCTGAGGTGATCTGCTTGCCTTGGCTTCGCAAAGTGCTGAGATTACAGGTGTCAGCCACTGAGCCCGGCATCTCTTCTCTTTTCATATTCTCACCAGTGATGTCATCTTACTCTCATGGTTTCAATCATATAGCTGAATGTCATAAAAACATCCAACATGACATCTCCCCCTGCAACTCCTGGAGCTCTTTCTCAAAGTCCAGGCTCTGCAGTTCCAGCTGTTCTACAAGAACCCAAACTAAAACTGAATAAAACAAAAGGCTCCCCACAAAACCACAGGCTATGAAAATAAGGTACTTTGAAACATAAAGGCCAGATTGATAGTTATTACAAGGCAGAATCTTTGAAATAAACCACAGACTCTTAGAAATAAACATGTATTTGAAATGACTGAATAAACCAATCCTATGGTTAACAGGAACAGTGTCAGATTTCGAGTCAACAAGATAAAACTTTTAAGAGTATGCTGCTTCCAATGTGGAAGGAATGGTCAGGTTTTCTGAGTCAGTTCCTAAAAACTATAGAGTTTTCATTTGTTTTTTGCTTTAAAACTTAATGAAGCTTTGAATCCTATAGTCAATTTACTTAAAATTACTCATTTTGGCCTCTAGACTATACTGTACCAAAGTTCATTGTGTGTGTCTCCTACAGCAGCTCTTGCATTGTGAAGAGTAAGCCCTTTTCACTGTTGTACAATGCAAAACACAATGCTGTCGGCAGTCCTGACAGCAAGCGGCAAACTCAGGCCTCATTCCCAGGCCAGACACTGAGGCATTGTGTAACTCTGTTCAAGCCTCATAAACCTATCCATGCTTCAGTTTCCCCATGATTAACCAGTAATGTTTTAACACTCTCTGCCACTTCCTTTCTTCAAGAGGATGTTATGAGGTCTGGGTGTAATACATTATGCTACTAAAAAAGGCGCCATACGGGTAAATAACTGTTCATCACGATGTTCATTTTCCCAAGATATCTTCGATGATAGTTAGCTTCCTTGGACAAGGGCCCGGCTGCCCAATATACAGCCCAGACTGTAGTACTTCCATCAGCCCAGCAGCCTCCACATGCTCCAGTGTATCCCAGATTAGCCCAAGACACTAAACACATACAACCTGTCCCCAGTCCCCTAGCAGCAAATAGAGAACAGAGCCAGTCTGAATATAAGTATAGTCTCAGGGGGGCCAACCAAGGTCATGGTCTCCATTGCCTAGACTGCTTCAGTTCACAGGCCTTTTCACACAGGGTCAGTTATGATTCTGTCTTTTTTAAAGAACCCAGTGTGTCCACTACGTTATGTCAGGACACAGGATATTTCCCATGCTGCATACCCACAAACT